CTGCTATTTCTCGCTCCCGTGATATTGCCGGGATGGAGTGTTCAGTAGTAACGCGCCAATAAGAATAAAACTAATTCATTTCTTTTGCCCGGAAAGCATTTTATTTCTCATTTTACATACCTGATGGCAATACCAGAATATTTTTAAGGTAATTGTAGATAGTTAGTTTATTTTAAAGCTAGTTGCAGCACTAATCAAATACGTGACGCAAATACAAAAGCCAAAAAATAGGCACTTTTATGACCGTTTTCTTAAAAATTAACCGATCGTTAAGGGGTTAATTTCATTTTAAAATTGGAAATTAAATTCACCAATTTCAGTATTTAGACATTGTTCCTTTATTTCTCAAATCAATTTTTAAGACGGGAATTAGTGAGAACAATTTAATTTTTTCATCATTCTCTTCCAATTTTAAATTTTAACCGAATTTATTCTCCCTGTATATCAATAAAACATCCACGAAAAAAAGTGGTTGCACGTCTTTTTTCTTTTCTTTAGATTATGTGAATATTTATTTCTGTTATCTATTATTTAAGCAATGCTCGGAAGAGTTTTTATCTGTACACATGAAGAGCTTAATGGAAGAAGCAGGTGACTTTTTCAGGGGTTTCATTAATCAGGAAAAATAATACATAATGGTCGAATCAATATGGGCATGATTAATGTATGATAACAGGATTGTTTTGCCTTCACTTAATTTTTTACTTAGATAATCCGTGTTAGATTTGAATATGCGTGTTGATTTTGATTTAGAATTACGTAGAGGTAAATGAAATAAGGCAAAGAATTCTTTGCTACATTTATAATAAATCTATAGCAAAACAGTTCGGATACCATTTTTTGTTCTTACCTACATTGATGGTAGTCCATCTGGAAATGTTGCTTACCTGGTTTTTCCACTTGACTTCTCATAAAACCCTTGATAATCTTAGTATTTGCTTACAGTTTCATGATGAATAGCGAAATAGAGAAATTAAATATTAATAAAAAAGCACTCTGTCACTTTTTGCTTTTTTTTTAACCTATGCATCATCATTACACTATACTTTGACTACAGATCCAAACATAAATAATTACATCAATAATACAATATTGTAGACTCAACTATCTTGTTTCTACAATATAAATGTTAATTATAAAGTATTTGTGCTATAAATTTATTATTATTATTATCATTGGAAAAAAATCTTCCTTTTACAAGCACAAATGATATAATTACTAAACTAAATATTTATTCATTATAATGTATGAAAATCAACATTTCGTAGGATCTAAATTAAGATTTTGTATCATTTTGAAAAATGTAAATTGCATTCAGAAAGTGAGTATATTTTATACGCGTACATTGATAATAGATTAAATTAATAGATTTTATGCATCGATTATCTCTAAAAAACTAAATTCATATTATCGCTTACTGATAATTAATCTTTTTTTTAATTTTTTATTTCGGATATTTATTTATGTAAAAAAAGTTGATACAAAATATAAATTTCTAATTGTGATTCAATACAGTTTTATCAATACATTAAACATTTAATTAGTACAGATTAATTTTTTAATTGAAGTAAAAAACTAATTCAAACAAACTGCATGATAGTAAGAAATAAGTTATTTTTTGTAGGAAATTTTAAAAAAAAGTGATGAATAGAGCCTTCTACACAAATTATTAAAAGTAATTTTTTACTTTAAGCATTGAATAGAGAAGCAGTAGCTTGAAGGAAGATTTGACGATTTGAAATAACCAATTGTTGGAAAATGGTTTTTTTTTCATCGTTTAAGATATGTTTGCTTAGTTATTAAAAATGATAATAGTATTTGCTTCGTTTATTTGCAGTTTAATGATACAGCATTGGGAAGTAGACAAAAGCATTATGATATGCTTGACTAGAATTTTAAAAAAAACTTCAAATAAAAACAATTAAATCGAACAATCCTCTTTACAATTAAACAAATGAATTAACAATCAAATAATCAACCGAAACAATTAAGCAATCCTCTTTAAAAATATGTGCGTAATTTAAAATTTTATCTGTTTTCAAAAAAACTTTTATAAATACGCTATTTTTTCCAAAATAGTATACAGTTTAGAATTGACTAATAATGCGCTGTGCTATAAGTTTAGATATACCAAAATGGAAAAAAAGCAAAAACTAGAAAGAAAATCATGTCAATGCAGCTCGTTTTCGGAAAAAAAATATAAATGACTTCCAAGATTTTTTAAACAGTTGCAACATATAGGATTTCCTTTTTACTAGAGAAAGAGTAAATATTCATTAATAGTTAATAATTAATAAGAAATAGAGCTTATTCACTCTTGGCGAAAACCAACTAGAAATGAAGTGGTTTTACTACCAGTTTCATTCTTTTTTACTTTCAGCCCTGTTTATATATAACTTCAAATACTGCACTTCATTTTGTAATTTCATAAATTTTTCAAGATCTTAAACCATTCACCCTTTTTGCTACAGTGTAGCCAGTCTGGTAGAAATGTAAAACTAATTGCTTATAAGCGTTTAGCAAGCTTTATTATTTCTGTCTTAAAATTTATTTTAGCCAAAAATGACAGTCTTATTCAATATAATTTATTAAAAATATATATATATATTGATCTTAACAGAAGTGGTAGCCAATGCTAGAAAATTTTGCATTTGTCTATGCATAAAACTCATACCTCTTTCCCCCCAAAAATGTCAAAATTAAATTTTGCATTTTCGCAACAGTAGTCTTGAATGAGTTACAATGGAAGCATAGTATAGAGCGAATTTTGAAATTAATCTGATGAACTGATATATATAAAATATATTTACTTTATATATATATATATATATATATATATATATATATA